TTGAGCATCTGCCCCCTGGTGGTCAGTGCATTGTCATAGCAACCAGTCAACTGGTCGTAATGGTCACTTAGGCTTTTATATATATAGGTAAAATATGTAACATTTATTAACCTTTAGTTTCTTTTCCCTTTAGCTAGGGGTTTCTTCCTTTTTTTCCTTTCAACCCTTCCCACCCTCCTATTTTTCTGTTTTAAGCTTTTAGCCTCCTGAGGCTGTGGGCTTTGTTTTCTATCTCAGGCGGATAGGAAAGAAAGGGGGCAGGGAGAGGGGCCCAGTAGCCGGCCTCTAGGCCACAGCCTCTACCTGGGAAGGTCCCTTCTTCTCTTCCTCACTCCTGCCCCACACTCCTCCTCCTTCTGTCCCTCCTTTCTCTTCTCCCATTCTCCCTCTCCCTCCTGCCCCTACTCTCTCCTCACCTTCCTCCTTCCCCTTTTCCTCACTCTTCCCCACAATTCCTTCTCCTTCCCCTCCCCCCTCCTCTCCCTCTCCACTTCTCCCCCCTCTTGGTCCCCCCTTCCTTCCCCTCTGCCCGCTGCTCCTCCTCACCTCCCTCTGTCCAAGTCGCCACAGATGTGATCCCACCTGCCACTGGATCAGGGAGGACTCAGGACGGCAGCCAGACAAACCCACAAAATCAGGGCCCTTCCCACAGGACCTGCGGGTGCCACAGTCCCGGAGGTGGGTGCTTTCAGGACTCTGTGTGGTGTCAGCACCCTGCTGGGCTCCTGGGAGGGGGCAGGATGGTACACATGGTGCCTCAGTTCCCACCGCTTAGGGCTCAGGGTCAGGAGGATGTCCCACTTCCCTCCCAGCTGAGGAGCCTTCCCTGAACGTAGCTAGTCAGCCAGGAGAGGGGCCGGAACCTCCTCCCAGAGCCCGGCTCAGACCAGGAGCCCAGGAGGCCCAGCTTCCTCCGTCCCAAAGGCAATCGCAGCCTCCCGGCAAGTGCAGCAGCAGCAGGGACGCCAGGTGCCTGTGGTGCCAGCAGGCGGCGCACCTCGGGCTGCCAGGGACACCCGCGGGAACCACTCCCTGAGCCACCAGCAGTCTAGTGGCCTGTCATTCCCAGTCTGAGGCCAGCCACCTGCTCCCTGCTGTGAAGGCTTCATTCATTTTTAAAAATATATATTTTTATTGATTTCAGAGAGGAAAGGAGAGGGAGAAACGGAAACATCAATGATGAGAGAGAATCATTGATCGGCTGCCTCCTGCATGCCCCGCACTGGGGATCGAGCATGCAATCCAGGCCTGTGCCCTTGACCGGAATCGAACCTGGAACCCTTCAGTCTGCAGGCTGAAACTCCATCCACTGAGCCAAACCAGCTAGGGCTGGCTTCATTCTTATTTAATTATATGTAACCAACCGGTCAGGAGGGGACTGCCACCCACAAGATGGCTTGTTAGGTATAGTTCCCAGAAGGAGCCCCTGCCCCATCCCCTAAGCACCAGGGTGACCAGGAGCAGAGGGAGAGAGCAGCAGCCTGGGCAGGAGCCTCTCACCAGGTTTCCCGGGAAGGAGGGAGGGACAGGAGGAGGGTGAGCAGGCTTAGTATCGGCTTGCTTGAATAAGTTTATCCCAGGCGTCTGTCCAGCGTGTGGGGCCAGGCCTGGTGCTTAAGGTGAGGGACACTGGCCCTGCGTGTGGGCACTGGCCTGGGCAGTGTGCCCATGAAGGCACCCTCCCAGGCCAGGCATTTACTGTCTCTGGAACTGGCTTCCTTGGGAGGGGCAGTCTCCTCAGGGTCAGCAACGCCCCAACGTGTCCCAGCAGCAGAATCACAGGAAATAAAGAGGCCCGGGTGACACACCGCGTGGGTGTGGGCTGCAGTGTTTGTTTTGTGGCCGCGCACCATTGCAGCGTGCACACCACCGTGAGACGCCTCTCCACGCTCCGTGCGGGGAGGGCGGGCTGTCTCCAGGGCCGGGCTCTTACCGGTCACGCTGTCCCGCACAGCCCTGCACCTGTGGGGACAGGTTTTCGTTTCTCTGGGCCTGTGCCCAGGAGGAGGGGCCCAGGTCCTGGGCTTGAACCAAGTCAGTCCTGGAGCTCTTCTGCCTGCGCGCCTGTCTTTCTTCTGATCTGGGGGCCCTCGACAGTACCTGTTCGACAAGTCATATTTATTCTTTCATTTAGCAGATCAGTATTAAGTGCCCCAACTCCTTTGCTAGAAACTGATATGGCTGTCAGGTGTGACCCCAAGAGCGCAGACAGCCTAGAAGAGGGAACAGGACATAAACAATAAATAAATACACGCTATAAAACATTATTCAGATAAGGATAGCCATAGTCACGTGTAATTACATTGTAACTATAATCTCCGGGAGAGATGACTTCCGTAACGAAAACAAGGCAGGGAGGGGTGAATGGGGGCTCTCCTCCATCCTCGGCCCTTCTAGAAGTTTCATTCGACGGAGGCTGGGATTCTGGCTTCCTTGTCGCTTTCCTTTTTTCACTTTATTTTATTTTTGTTAATTGACTTTAGAGAGGGAGGAAGGGAGGGAACGAGGAAGGGAGGGAGGGAGAGAGGGAGGGAGAGAGAGAGAGAGAGACAGAGAGACAGAGACATGTATGTGAGAGAGATACATCAATCCCGGTGGTTGTCCCGACATCAGCTCCAACCAGCTGAGCTTGGGGCGCTTGTCTCTTGTCTTTCATTTCAAAATAGGGTTGTCTGTTTTTCCCCTTTTCATTTTTTCTTTATTTTTATTAGAAATATATATATTTTAGCCTGGCCGGTGGTGGCTCAGTGGTTGAGAATTGACCGATGAACCAGGAGGTCATGGTTTTACTCCAGGGCAAGGCACATGCCAGGGTTTCGGGTTCCATCCCCAGTGTAGGGCGTGCAGGAGGCAGCCAATTAGTGGCTTTCTCTCATCAATGATGTTTCTTTCTTTCTTTCTTTTTTTTTAAAAATATATTTTATTGATTTTTTACAGAGAGGAAGGGAGAGAGATAGAGAGTTAGAAACATCGATGAGAGAGAAACATCGATCAGCTGTCTCCTGCACACTCACCACTGGGGATGTGCCCGCAACCAAGGTACATGCCCTTGACCAGAATCGAACCTGGGACCCTTCAGTCCACAGGCCGATGCTCTATCCACTGAGCCAATCCGGCCAGGGCTCTCATCAATGATGTTTCTATCTCTCTCCCCCCTCCCTTCCTCTCTGAAATCAATAAAAATATATTTTAAAAATATCTTTCAAAAAATAAGTTTTCATTGATTTTAGAGAGCGAGAAAGGGAGAGGAGGGAGAAAAATCGATTGGTTGCCTCCTGCACATATCCCGACGGAGTGGGGATCCAACCTGCAACCCAGGCATGTGCCCTGACTGGGAATCGAACTCCTTTCCGCGAGCGGGAGGACACTCAGCCAACCGAGGGCTAGTTTTGTTTTTTTTTTTAAACAAGCAATTTATACTGGTCCATCTCTGCTTTATTTATTTATTCACTTTACCGATGAAACTGCCTTTTGCGTGTCTTGGGGGAGGTTTCCTCTGAGCTCGTCCTGGTCCTGCCCCTCCAATAGCCCTGTTTCCCTGGGTGGGAAGCTCTTCCCTCTTTCACAAGCGCCTCCTTCGGAGGTGGGCGGCTCCGGGCGGCTCCGGGCGGCTCTGGGCGGCAGGCTGTCACACTCCGCTGGCTTCAGGGGCTGGAAGGCGCTGTGCCCCATGCATTGGCCCGTTTTCTGCAAATGGGGGGCAGGAAGGGGACTTCCTGCTGGGCAGCACACACTACAGTCAAGACTCTGGATGTAGGTGCTTCCTTCACCCACCTTTCTTTATTTTAACATCGTATAACAGTGAGGTGCATTTGTTACAATTAATGAACTAATATTGACACACCATTATTTATCTTATTTTTTACAAGTTTTATTTATTGATTTGAGAGAGAATGAGAGAAACATGGACTTGTTGTTCCGCTTATTTGTGCATTCATGGGTTGATTCTTGTATGTGCCCTGACCTGGGATCGAACCCACAACCTTCGCATATGGGGACAATGCTCCAACCAAGTGAGCTACCCAGCCAGGGCTTGACACACTCTTTTATTTTTTAATATTTATGTATTTATGTATTTATTTATTTATTTATTTATTTATTATTGATTTCAGAGAAGAAGGGAGAGGGAGAGAGAGAAAGAAACGTCACTGGTGAGAGAATCATTGGCCGGCTGCCTCCTTCCCATCCCCTAGTGGGGATGGAGCCTGCGACCCAGGCCTGTGCCCTGACTGGGATCCAACCGTGACCTCCTGGTTCACAGGTCGACACTCAACCACTGAGCCACACCAGCTGAGCTCAACACACTGCTTTTAACCAAAGTGCATCCTGTATTCAGAGTCCCTGTTTGTCCCTAATGCCCCCGTGTCCCGTGTCCCCGAAGGCAGGGCGGTCCGGCTCCGCCAGGAGTGTGTCAGGGACACCTCACCCGCCTCCGCGTTCTTGCCTGGAGGAGTGGGAGGAGGGAGGGAGCACGGCGTGGCGGGTCTTCCGTGAGCACCTTGGGTTTACCGACGCGTCAGTGCGCCGTGAGCAGCAGGAACGCGAGTGGGTGGGAGCTCAGGGAGACCTAGGAGGGCTCCCCTGGCGGCCCGCGAGGGCACCGGCGCCCCCAGCACCGCCTCGGGGCAGGGACTGCGGCGGGTCGCGCGCTCACAGTTTCAGTTCCCCACGGAGGTAACTGAGGCCCCGAGAGCCTCGGCGACCCGCGCTCCAGGCCGCGGTGCCACCGCCCAGGTCAGGCAGTCCCGGGCGCACCTCGCCGCAGGAGTCCCCGCCGCCGGAGTCCCCGCCCCCCAGCCCCGCCCCGGAGTCCCCGCCCCCAGCCCCGCCCCCGGAGTCCCCGCCCCCAGCCCCGCCCCGGAGTCCCCGCCCCCAGCCCCGCCCCGGAGTCCCCGCCCCCAGCCCCGCCCCGGAGTCCCCGCCCCCAGCCCCGCCCCGGAGTCCCCGCCCCCAGCCCCGCCCCCGGAGCCCCGCCCCCAGCCCCTAACCGGCCCCGCGCGGCGCGGAGCCGGCGACAGGTGGAGCGCAGCCGAGCCTTGCCCTGCTCCCTGCTCCCTGCTCCCTGCTCCCTGCTCCCTGCTCCGTGCGCGCTCCCGGCCCACCATGGGCAACAGCGCGGGTCGCAGCGACTTCGAGTGGGTCTACACCGACCAGCCGCACACGCAGCGCCGGAAGGAGATGCTGGGTGAGCGCCGCCCGAGGCCCCTGGGTACTCCCCTACCCCTGCTCCGGGGGTGGGAGCGGCTCCCCTCCGCCCGCGTCCCTCGCGTCCTCCAGCCCTGTCTCTGCCTCCGTCTTGGGACCCGGGACACGGGGATCCGTGCGCCGGGGAGCACGTCTCAGCTGCTGCGTCTCGGTGGGGACCCGGGCGCAAACCTGGGGCTCCCGGGCGCGGGACGCGGCGGCGCAGGCGTTGGCCACAGGGACCAGCTGCGGGGAGGCGCTGCCCCCGCCCAGGGAAGCAGCCCGGGGGCCTCTGGTCCCCTGGGCACCGGGCGCCCGCGGCCCTGGAGCTCCGGGTCCCTCCTGCGGCCGCCGAGAGGGCGCCACGCCCACCCCAAACCGAGTGTAGGCAGGACGGGCACCTCGATGGAAGCGAATGTGAACCAGAGATTCAGCGGCTTTAAAAACCAGAGATTGTGCCCTGAACCTTGTGGCTGGACGCGCGGTGGCCGCCCCTCTCTCGTCGAGTGTCCCGCCAGGTCATTTTTACCCACAGGCTCACCCTGCGGACTCGCGTGCCAGCGCCTTCCCCTGGCCCCGGGGTTAAGGGAGAAAGGGTCCACACCTCCCAACAGCTTTGCTGAGATGCCACCGAAATCGCCCCCACAGTGCCAGGCGCGGCCGCGCGTGGCCACGCTCCTGCCTCCCTCCCACACCCGGTTGGCAGCGCTTCTGGTCTCTGCCACGGGACTGAGAATGCGGTAGTATTCGCCGTGGGTTTCTTGCATGTACATTTGTTTAACAACCGGTTCTCGCGTTTGACTGGCCAGGGTAGTCTTTTCTCGGTTGGTCTGTTGCTTGTTGCGTGTTAGCTCTGGGTACTGGAGGCGTTTAACCCCGTGTCTCACATGTCGCGATGCATTTTCTCCTTTACAGTTTTTGTCTTTTGCGATCACAGGAACTGTTTTCTTAATGCGTTTGAAGGGACTCGTTTTTGTCTTTAGTGCTTGTCCTTTGGTGTCTCCTCCCCCCACCCCAAGACTATGGAAATATGCACCCTATTACTTTTTAAAATTGTTATTGATTTTTAGAGAGAGAAACATTGATTTGTTGTTCCACTTATTCATGCATTCATTGGTTGATGCTTGTATGCACCCTGACCAGGGATGGAACCAGCAACCTTGGCTAATGGGGACGACGCTCTAACCAGCTGAGCTACCTGGCCAGGGTGAATGCTTCCCACTACTTTAAACCTTCCAGACACTGGGCCTGTTGAGTGGTTAGTGTGTGACTACCCTGCTCTAACTGGAGGATCAGGGGCTGCAGACCCCTGGGTGGGTTTGTGCCTTTGTGTGTTTCTCCTATGAGGTGAGCGATAGTCCAGCATTGTTTGTGGTCTCAGCTGTGGCAGCGCGGTCCCCTGCGCCTGTGGACTTCCCGGGGGTGGCTGGGAGGGCCTTGGTGATCATCTGGGCCTCCCTCCCACCAGCGCCCACCCGAGAGCAGGGGCTGCTGCCCCTCAGGAGGTCCAAGGCAAGGCTGCGTTCCTGCCACGCCCCCTGGCTCCTTGGCTTCCCCCCACCTTCCCTTATAAGACTCATTGGGCACCTGGCCCAGGTGGCGAAGGCTGGGGATCTATGGTGACATCTGTAAAGTGGGCACATTCATCCTTGCCTGGCGGAGTGGGTATGAGGATGGGAAGGTGCTCAGTGTGGTCCCCAGCACTCCAGGTCACGGAGAAGGAACTCTCTAAAGAGAGGAGCCACGGGCCCTGGCACCAATCCTGAACGCCTGCTGGACAGGTGGCCAGGAAGGCTGGAGGACTTGGAGAGGGAGGCATCTTGGCCTGGCCAGGGGCTGCGCACGTTCTCAAGGGCCGATTCTCCAGGGAGCCTTGATCATTTCCACTCCCACTGGGTGTTGTGGGGTCCTCCCTTCGCATCTAGTTTTAAGCCCGTGAACTTGGACTGTGCCATTCTCCCTCCCTCCCTGGCATTTGCTATTCCCCTGCCTGAATGTCCTCCCCTGCTCTGCCCAACGGGCTCTTGCTCAGTTCCACCTCCTGCAGGAAGCCCCCCTGGCTTCCCTCGTGGACCCGGGCTGGGTGAGGGAGCTCCGTGGCTTCAGGCCATGGGTCCTTGTCTCTTTGGGGCAGGCTGCAGGGGTCTGGGGCGTGGCTGTGGAGTGATCTCCGGGCAAGGACCTCAGCGCGCACTCATTAGCCATGTGACCTTCGGGCAAGTCAATCAACAGATGAGGAAACCGAGGCTTGTTGGCGTTAAAAGGGATTCGTGGTAACACCTTCCTACCAGAGTTGTTGTGCAGGTGAAATGGAGGGAATGCTGAGTGCTCAGCTGTTACCTCCTGCGGGCAGGCCCGTGTTTTCCCCCAGGACAGGGAGCACCTGTGCTGTTTCCAGCTGGAGAGATGGCTTATGGGTAACTGCCAGCCAGCATCTCTTTACAGAAGAGGCAGCAGCATGAGGTTCAGAGAGAGGAAGCGACTTGCCTACGGCCACACAGCTTGGAGGTCACAGAGGCCAGGTTGGTGCTCAGGCAGCCTCCTGCTCAGGATGTGCTGCGGCCCTACCCAGGCATCTGCTGTGCCCCACCCAGGTGGCTGCTGTGCCCATGCCAAGCTGCCAGGGCAAATGGATGCTCAATAAAGATCCTAATCGCAGAGTCAGGACCCAGAAAGTCCTGGCACAGAGCTGCTGAGTGCTCTTCCGGCAGGACCAAAGTCCACGTGCAGCTCCTGCCTGCCTGCCTGGGTGGGGACCTGCTCCCAGGGCACGGTGTCCTAGCAAAAGGGGGTCCCAGGGTGGCTCCGAGGAGCCCGGTGTCCCAGGCGGGGCCCAGGCTTCCTGGACTGTGAGGGCAGAGCAGAGCCAGCGGGAGTCTGTCTGGTTGAGATCAGAACCCACGCCAGGCGTGGCCGTGGAATAAAAGGCAAGCTTTGGATTTGTCTTTTCAAAAACAAATAGCTTTGTGATTTTGTTTTTGTTCTTGACTTAGAAAAATAGGGCACACATATAGTAAAGAGAAATTCAAATCATCAAAGGAAAACAAGGAAGTGAGACTGTTGGCACTGGCTGGGTTATTTGCTCAGGAAAGAACTTGGCTGGAGATGTCTTGGCGGCAAAGCGGTGAGATCCAGACCAGAACTGGCTGAGCTCTCCGCTCCGCTCCGCTCTCTGGGGGATGTGTGGATGGTTCTCACCCAGCCACAGAGATGTGGCTGCAGGGAGGCGAGCAGGCTGGTCACAGGGCCGTTCTCTCGTGCCCCCGTCCCTGCTGCAGTCAGCACACAGACCCTGCCCTCCTCTTCCAGGCAGGCTGCAGGCGATGCCTACCCTGTGCCCTCCCAGCCCTGAGATTCCACAGAAGAGAGGGGGGTGCCTCCTTCCCCTCCTGCTCTGAGTAGCAGGGCCTCCCCTGGAGCCAGCTAATCTCTGGCCCGAGCTGTGGGCCCTGTGATGGGTCAGTGGGCTGTGATGGGCTTGGGAAGGGCAGAGAGAAGCTGCTGGCCAACGAGAGGAAGGGGACCTGGATGCTAAGCTGGGTGAGGAGGCGGGAAGGGGTCCTGTGGGTCTGGCCCACAGCAGCACAGAGAATAGGTGATCCCTACAGGCTTCCTCCTGGACCCTGACTGACCTGGGTATGTCCTCTCTGCTCAGACCCTCCCAGGGCCGCCCCTGCTGGAAATCTCCACCTCTGTCTGGGCCCGTGCGGCACACCCCGGCCCTGGCCCTGCCCCTTCTTACTTTGTGCTCTCCAGCCACTTTGTGGAACGCACCCTGTCTTCTGCCCATTTCCTACTCTGTGGCTTTTGCAGATGCTGTTCTCTCTGCCTGAATTCTTTCCCTCTACCGAACTCCTATGCATCCTTCAGGTTTCAGCCTAAATGTCCCTTTTCTCTAAAACACTCTCTAACAACACACACACACACACACACACACACACACACACACACACACACACACTGCGTGCTGGTCAGCGTTAAGTGATTGAGTCTCTGGAGGGAACAAGAGCCCCGATCTGTAAATATCTGTAAATATTTCCACTATGATCAATTGTAAGTGATCAACATGCATCATCCCTGGTCATGGGGTTGGGAAGGGAGGAGCCTGCTGGCCCACGCCACGACCTGCCTCCCCGCTGAGCTCTCCTTCCTGCTCCGTGCTCCCCCGCGGGGCACTTTTACCCACGGCCTTTGCCCTGTCTTCACTCCTGCCTTGATCTGTGGGGTGATTGCTTCAACTGTGACTTCCCCAGTCACCTCTGAGCTTCCCCGAGGGCAGGGCCAGGCCCACCTCCACCTGGCGTGGCCTGGTGCGGCTGGCTTCCCAGAGAGTCTGAGTGAGCCCTGAAACAGGCGTGTTCCTGGCTCCAGCCCGGCGCTTTGAGGAGCTCACAGTGCGAGGGGTCATCCTCGCAGCTGGTGGTTGGGAGGCACCCCGTTTTTTAAAAAAATATATTTTTATTGATATCAGAGAGGAAGGGAGAGGGAGAGAGAGATAGAAACATCAACAATGAGAGAGAATCATTGATCGGCTGCCTCTGCACGCCCCCTACTGGGGGTCGAGCCCTCAACCCAGGCATGTGCCCTGACCGGAATCGAACCCAGGACCCCTCAGTCCGCAGGCCGACGGTCTATCCCCTGAGCCAAACCAGCCAGGGCGGCACCCGTTTTAAGTGGCATTTCTCAGCTGCTCGGTGAGGCTGAGCGGCTCTTCCGGATTTCTCTGCCTTCTTTTGTGGATGTCCTGTCACGCCCTTGGTTCCCTTTCCATCCAAGTTGTCCTTTTTCTGGATTTCTGAGTTGTTGTTTCTCACGCTGCCTCATGGAGGCCCTGTGCCGGCCCAGGTGGCAAGTACCTGCCCTGGCTGGCCCTTGGTCTTCTCACCTGAGTGTGTCTTCTGTCCTCTCTTTCCTGCCTCCTAGACATTTGCACGCTTTATGCACAGCAGGGCCCTGGGAGCTTGTCGCTTGCCCGCGGTTACCCAGCGAGCTAGAGGTGGG